CCTACATCCTGGGAACAAATTTTTACCCCCCACACATCAGATAGAGCCCTAATTTCCAGAATGTACAAAGAACTCAAAAAATTAAATAATAAGATAACAAATAATCCAATCAACAAATGGGCCAAGGACCTGAACAGACATTTCTCTCCCCACCTTTAGATCCTGTTCTCTCCTCTGCACTTTGGGCCTCTTACATTGTCCCCCCTCCTTCCTTATCCCTCCTCATTTGTCCCTTTCTCCCTCCCACTCAGACTTCTCCTCCCACAATATACTCCATCTTCCTGCATCTCCCTCTCTTGCTTCCTCATCCTGATCCCCCATTTCTACTCCTGATCCTCCTTCTGAACACTCCCAAGCTTGGGTCACCTTGGTTTCCACAAAGGTGTCTGCTCTTTCTGAGCCCTGAAAAGCATTTGACCTGCCCAGCATGACTTCTTTTTTCTCCAGATAAGGAAAGAGCAATCTTTGCTTCCTGGGGTCATCAGAGGTCAGGGGGCATCTGTGAACTGTGGGTCAATTTCAGAGGTGCCAGAAAGAGCCAGCCTGTGCCCTGTTCTGGGGCACTTCTGTGCCAAACATAAGTGAATCAACCTTTATTAATTTTATAAGTTTATAAATTTATTAATGGGTTTCTTAAGAATTCATTAACATTTAATAAGCAAAACTTTCAAGGGCTTCTCCCTAGGTCAGACCAGCCAGGGCCTAGAGGTGGAGCATAGGTTACTAAACCCTAGACTTGACATTTTAAGACTGACTGCCCAGGAGACATAACATGAGCCATGTGTAATTTTAACTTTCTAGGAAACATTTTAAAAAGTTAAGAAACACAGGTGAAAATAATTTTAATGTACTATTTAACTTAATATATGAAATGTTATTTTAACACTTAGGAATGATTCATAGGAGATATTTTACATTCTTTGGTGTATGTGGGTGTTTATGACATTTAGGGTAGATGTTTGTTTAAATTGGCCCCATCTCAAGCACCCAGGGACTATGTGTGGTGGCGGCTGTGCCATTGCACAAGTCAGCTTCAGGTTGTGTGGTTGGGATGTGAGGAGGTGATTAATAATTAAGATCAGGGAGTCACAGGTGTTCTGTTCAAAATGAAATAGAAGAAGTGAGGGAAAGAGTTGGGTCAGGAAGCCTCTTTGGAACCCCAAATGATGAGAGGTCCTGTCTAAGGGAGACAGAACCAGCAGTACAACGGCCTGGGGTTAAGTTGGATTGTGCCTGTTCTAGCAACAAGCAAGGGGGTGGCATGATCTGAAATCTCACCCTAGGGGTTAATGGATAGTGCTCTGTGGGTGAGGCCTCGGGTGGGAGGGTAGGGAGACTCCTGCCAGGCCAATAAGAGATGGTGAGCAGCAGAGGGTATGAATCTTGGAGCACAGGTCTACCCCTGCATCCYCCTTCCAGGGGCTGCACAACCAGCTTTGGTTCAATGTTCCTTGCTTGGAAAACTTGTCCTACTTTCAAAAAAATACCCCTGAATGAGTTATGATTTACATACAGTAATTATGTGTTGGGACTGAGAAATTTTAATGAATGAATACATGCATGAGAGTTACCCCTCTATCAAGATCTAGAACATTTGCATGATTCCAGAAAGTTTCCTGGTGCCCCTGCAAGGTGAAAAGCTTTGCCAGGAACCCCAGGAGGCACCTGGACCTTTGAAGCACACCCAGAAGGACTGTCTAGGGAGGGGCGGAGGGGATGGTCAACCAGCATCAGTCCAGACCTGCTGTGGTCTCAGCTAGGTGATGGGTGGGGCTGGGTCAGTAGGAATCTAGCATGAGGTATAAGGAAAGACACCATCTCTGTAACATAAAAGTGCAAGACAGAAGAAACAAGTGTTGATGTAGAAGCTGTAGCAGGTTATCCAGATCTGTTTAAAATAATTGATGAAGGTGGCTACAATGAAAAAAAAAACACTTTCAATATGGAAAATACAGCCTTATATTAAAAGAAGAAACAATCTAGCCTTCCATAGGTAGTAGAGAAGTCAATGCTTCACAGCTTCAAAGGGAAGGGTGACATCTTATTAAGGGTCTATATAACTGATGACTTTAAATTGAGACTAATACTCCTTTATGGTTCTAAAAATCTTAGGGTGTTTAAGAATTAAACTAAATCTACTCTACCTTTGCCCTGCAAAGCCTAGGTGACAGGACATCTGGTTCACAACATGGTTCAGTGA